CTATCCAAAGAAAGAAAAATCTCTCATCTTTTTTTTTATTATTAACATTTATTTAACGAATAATAAAAACACAGAATTTAAAAACACAGAATTAAAAAAAAAAAAAAAAAAAACGGGCCGACCGCAGTCAAACCGCGGTTGGGCCGACGGTCAACCGCGGTGAACGCGCGGTTCGACCAGCGGCTGACCGCGGTCAAAGGGCGGTTGACCGATGGTTGAGCCAATTTTGAAGGCAGCTACGTATCCAGTTTGTCTAGTTATTAGGATATAATTAAATTAACCGGTCTTGTTTTACTGGTTTTTTTTTTTTTTTTTTTTTTGACAAATCATATCAACTTTTATTCCACTAAACCAATATTCGTGCAAAAGCTATTACAATTCTAGAGGAGAACAGAAATTAGATCAAGAATATTAATCCAGTCTTCTGGCAGGTTAGATTTGGCTTTTGATCGTGCAACCCAATCAGCTCTAACGTTCAACGCCCTCGGAACTTCTTCCACCGAAATATCTGGATTATTCCTCAGGATATTGACCATTGTCCTAATCCAGGCAGCGCATCTCCAGGGCCATCGAGACTGATTATGATTCAGGGCCTTCACCAGCATTTGACAATCAGATTGAACTGTACACACCGATCCATATTCTTGTGCTAATTTAATTCCTTCCATAAGTGCCTTAGCTTCCACTTCCATCGGGGTGGAACAAAGAAGATTTTCAGCTCTCCCATCACACACTTGTCCATGGTGGTTAACAACCACAACACCATATGCCGCCGATTGGGGGTCGCTAAAGAACGACCCATCACATTGAATCACAAACGAGTGACTACTTGGCGGTGGATTCGTAGTAGGATGGGATCCCCTGAGCTGAGTGGGACCATCAGAACCTTGAGGTGGGGGCCTCGGGCAAGCAATCCATTCCGTGAGCTCTCTATAGGTTTGCAGACAAACGTTTGGGGTCCAGGGAAGTCGATTCTTGAACGTGCATTCATTTCTTGCCTTCCAGATGTTCCAACAAAGGTAGATAATATGTATCAGGGAGTTTTGGGGGATGGTATCTTTGAGGGAGCAGAACCAATCAAAAAAGGATGTGCCCTGAGGAGGAATCGGCAGGGATGGGAAAGTGCTACTCCAAGCGTCACTGGCATGAGGACAGTCGAAAAGGCAGTGGTTGAGGGATTCACTAGGGTTATGACACACCTGGCAGCTCGGATTAGGGGCACATTTGCGCTGGAAAAGTCTTGCTCTCGTTGCCAACCCGTCTCTGGAACATCTCCATAAAAAGAATTTTAGCTTTGGTGGGATATTCAGTCCCCAGATCCATTTCCACTTCTCTTCACTTCCATATGCCTGGAAATTTGTATTGGCTTTGTGAACAGCGTGGTAGGCAGTCCTGACTGAGAAATCTCCCTCTCGGGTGAGACTCCACGCCCAGAAGTCCTCAGATCCCTCCTCCCCAATTGGGACTTTAAGAATAGCCGCCTCTTCCTCTCTCGTCACATTACCTTGCAGTAAATCAATGTTCCATTTTCTACTAACAGGGTCAATCCATTCCTTTACCCTCAGTTTTTGCTGGGGGCCACTTCCAATGACATAGTTTTGGAGGTTTGGAATCCATGGGTCTTGACCAATCCAAGTATCCTCTCCAGAGCCAATAACTCTAACCGCTCCCATGTTGATAACCTTCTTTGCCTCCCACAGACTCGCCCAAATCCAAGATGATCTACTACCCTTTTTCGATTGCATGAATCCCCCTCTCGGGAAGTATAAGCCCTTCAGGAGCCGACACCACAATGCATCTGGGTGGTTAAGGATTCTCCACGCTTGTTTTGCTAATAAAGCCATGTTAAAATCCTTGAAGCTTCTGAAACCCAAACCCCCTTCTGCCTTTGGTGCGCAAAGAATATCCTTCCTGCACCAATGCATTGTGCTTTTTTGCATTGACCCTGACCAGAAGAAGTTGGTTAGGAGAGAGTCCATCTTCTTTGTCAGGTTCACCGGGAGGTTAAACAGGTACATGATGTAGGAAGGGATAGCTTGAATGACAGCTTTGAGTAACACTTCTTTCCCTCCATGAGAGAGGAGGAGGCTTTTCCACGCTTCACCCATCTTCTCCATTCTCTGAATCAGGAATTGGAAAGTTTCCTTCTTCGAGTTTCCCCATTCTGTCGGGACTCCTAAGTATTTGGTGTGGACGTTAGACGAGGCAAACCCGATGTGACTAATGATTGCTCCTTTGTCCACCTCGGGGACATTTGCACTGAAAAAAACAGATGATTTGTTGATATTCACTTCTTGACCCGTGATGGCTCCATACTCTCTTATAAGGTCCAGAATCTTCTCTGCTTCTTGAATATCTGCCTTGCCAAAGATAACAGTATCATCTGCAAACAAACAGTGGGTGAGAATTGGGCATCTAGCGTTCAACCTTATTCCCTTTAATTGGTTCTGGGATACCGCCTTATCAATTAGGAAGGTAAGAGCATTAGACATTAGAATGAAGAGGAAAGGAGAGAGAGGGTCTCCCTGTCTGATTCCCCTTGACGGTTTGAACTCCTCAGTAGCTTCCCCATTGAAGAGGATGGAAAAATTGACCGTCCTGATACAAGAGCTGACCCATCTACACCATCTATCATCAAACCCATAATTTTTCAGCAGAGTTTCGAGACATTCCCAGTCCACCATATCATACGCCTTCTTCATGTCCAACTTGAGCATCATATCCCTTCTCCTTCCCCTCTTATGGTTTTTGAAATGGTGGAGGGCCTCGTGGACAATAATGACATTGTCTTGGATAAGCCGTCCACTGGTGAATGCCGTTTGGAGCTCCGAGATAAGATCAGGCGTCCAGATCTTCAAGCGAGTTGCCATTATCTTCGATATAATCTTATATCTAAAATTGCAGCAACTAATGGGTCGAAATTGACTAATCACCTCTGGGTGGTCCACTTTAGGAATCATGACGATATGAGTATCATTCCATCCATTCGGCATAGTTGCCGTCTCGAAAAACTCCTTAACCTCCCTACACACCGATTCCCCAATAATATCCCAGAATCTTCGGTAAAACCTACCCGAGAAACCATCCGGGCCTGGGGCCTTTTTTGCTCCTAACGAGAAGACCGCTTTCCTAATCTCCTCTCCTGTCACCGGGGCACAAAGAGCTACATTCATCTCATCTGTAACCTTTCCTTGGAAGCCGTCCAGGAGATGTGCAAAGGGGATAAGGTCTCTAGCTCTAAATAGGTCTTTGTGGAACTCCTGAGCCAAACCTTTGAGCCTATCTTCATCCTCCACCCAGTCCCCTCCTCCGTCCTTAAGTCTAAGAATCCTATTCTTATGTTTTCTGTGGATCGTGCTAGAGTGGAAAAAGGAGTTATTCTGATCCCCTTTCTGAAGCCAGTTAACTCTTGAGCACTGATTCCAGAACTCCTCCTCCTCCCTCCACATCTTGGACAGTTCCTCGATTAGCCCTTTTTCCTCCTCCACTCTTTCCTGGGTTCTTGGAGGTCTTTGTAGAATATCCAGTCTCTCCAAAACATCCTTCTCTCTTTGTAGGCTATTCCTATGAAAGTCTTTTGACCAATCTTTAAGATCTTGTTCGCATTTCGCCAGTTGGTTCGATGATTGCCCTCCTGGATCCCAAGCTCGGACCACTATTTCTTTACACTCCTCCTTATCTAACCATCTTTCGTCCACTCTGAATGGTGTCTTTCTCCTCCTATTCCCTCTATAACAGAGCTCAAGCCTGATCGGGCAATGATCTGAAGCCACCATCTTTTCATGGAACACCATTGCGTCCCCGAAGAGGATTCTCCACGAATTCGAGCACAATACCCGATCAAGTCGTACTCTCGTAGTATTTACCCCGGTCTGTTTATTGGTCCAAGTGAAGGGATCCCCTTTGAAACCTAGGTCAATAAGAGCATTGTCGAAAATGAACCTTTTAAAAGGTTCCACATTCTCGTACCTAAGGGGGCATCTCCCCTCCTTCTCACTTTCATAGATAGCAGCATTAAAATCACCTACAATCACCCAGTTATCCTCCCTACTACTCCGAAGAGAGCTAAGGTGCTCCCAAAATTCCCTTCTACTAACAGCGGTAGAGGGTGCATGAACAAAAGTACAGAAGAACTTCCTACCCATATCGATACTACAATCCATATAATAGCTATCACTACTAATAATATTAATACTAATGCCCGCTTTCCACCAAAGCGCAAAACCCCTAGAAGAGTTAACCGGTTCAACATACTCTTTATTGGGGAAAATTTTGAGACTTCTTCTTTGCTCCTCCATGAATGCTTCATTTTTGCTCGTTTCCATGAGAAAGACAATCGAAGGGCCTAAACGTCTACATAGACGTTTCGCATAACTTCTTGTAAGGGTTGGGCCAAAACCCCTACAATTCCAACTTACCATACTCATTCTTGAAGAGGTGGCTTCTGGCGAACCACCGCTGCCCTCGTGTCCCTTCCTTGCTCCTCTTCAGATATTCCTTCCCTTGTACTGCTATTCGCTTGGGCTCTGTATTTTTTATTTTTCTTCTTGTTTTTTTCCCCAGGCCCTCCTATGAAGACCATCTCTGTTGGGCCAAATGGTATTTCGGCCCATTCATTAACATCACTGCTGGGCCTCTCTCTGCTCTTCAGGCCCGTCCCTTTCCTCTTCTTTCTTCCGCGGCCCACCTCTTCTTCCAGCTCCTCTTGTTGGTGCTGGTACTGATCCACTTCTGTTGGGCCTGGGTTACCCAAAATTTGGGCTCCTCCTTCTCCTCCCACTTGTTGCGTCGGCCCTAGGGTAAGGCCTGTTTCCACCGTCACCTCCTCCGCTCCTGTTTGGCCGGCGCTACTCTGTGGCCATTCTTCTTCCAGTCGGAGACTTCCCTCCATGGCCGCCACTGTTCTTTCCAGTTCCAAGCTCAGATTCCTTGCTCCCATCTCCTCTCTATATCGCCCTCGCTGCCTACCTTGTATCCAACTTCAACCTCTTTGTAGCACCCAACTCTAATTGCATTTATCATGCTTGTATCCATGTCACTGTACTTGTCATTTCTTTACTCAGGTCTGATTATCTGGATCTATTGCCAGTTGTTGATTGAATGATATCTTCTTTTCAATCGGTATCCTTGACAACTTAGCAGTGAGGTATCTATTTTGCTTGCACGCTCTTTCTTCATGGAATTTTCCATGGCAGTTTTGGCACTGCTTGCACGACTTTGAGTTTTGGTTCGGCAGGTAAGTGCTTACTTATTCCATGTCAAGCAGTAGAATAAGAATCTGCAACTCCGTAAGTGACAAATGCAGTTAAAATCTTTTCCATCAATAGCACATTTCTTGTTGACTGTAAAACAAGTATAGCACAGTCTGCACTCATTTTGTTTCCTTCTACAGATATTACTTAATGTTGCTTCTTTTTTTTTTTTTGAAGAAAATGTTGCTTCATTGTCCAACACCGTGTCTTCGCTCGCCCAGAATAAGCAGTCTGTGAAAATAAATAAGAAAGGAATAGAGGTTGGCAGCCCCACCTGTGTTTTCCGTACCTTCATGATACAATACCAATTGAATCACTATCCTTTTCACTGAAACCTCCTCTTCTCCAGGTATTTCGAGAGTACTATCCAATGAACAAGGAATTTATCACCCTAGAGTGTGTTTGGGAAGAAGATAAATTTGTGTTGCTCGAAAAGAGTACAGAAAACTGACGTAAAAGAAAATTATGAGACCATAAAAGATCCCAACAATGGAAGAACGGCTGTACGGTATCGAAGCATTCAGGCATTTCTTAGAGGTAAGCTCCTCTATCTTCGTGTGTAAAAAGTAAAAACTGCCGCCTTGTTTTGTTTACAATTTGAACGATTTAATTATGGATCTGTCATTTCAGAGATTACTGATGATGGCGGTGACATTGAAAAGATGGAAGTAGATCATCCCGACAAAGAAGGCTCTTCTCTGATGAAGAAAGATGAGGACTTGTCAGCTGGATCTCCAACTCCGAAAGAGATTGAACATCAGAAGCAAGGTAATAGCATCGAGATGGGAGATGATTTACCAGTTGGAGCGAGTCCTGGAAAAGGAATTAATCCGAATGCAACCTCAAGCGCTTCCCCAGATGCAACAACATCCATACCAAATTCCAGTAGTTCAAGGCAAGTGACATTTGTTTCAGTGTAAAGGCCTGCTGCACCTCCAGCAGCTGGTGCTGATGCATCCATAGCTGTTAAAAGGCCTTCAACTTCAACTTCAAATGTGACCACGCCAGGGCTTTCAAGGGGTAGTGAAAAGGAAGCAGATGGCATGGAGGATTCGTTTTTCGATTTGCTTACTGCTGGTGGAAACCTCAAGAGTCTCTTTTGATCCTAACACCTTGAACTAACTTATAGTTCATGTGTATAGAGAGGTTTGTGATGTAGGGAAGCAAAATGTTTCGATACTGTCAGTTTAGAGCTAGCTAATGACCCATCACTGGCGAGGCGAGGATGTAAATATTTCATCCTCTCCAAACAAACATATCAATGGGATTGGTTTCCCGCGATTTTGTAGCCATTATTAGAAGAAATGAAATTGAGAGAAAATTCAGCTGTGAATTCCAATAAAGGATGGAGTCAGAAACTGAAGAAAGCACAACAATTGGCGGCAAGTCAAAATCAAGAAGCAATTGGTCGTTGGGTGACCCTGTAAAACGATCTCATTTGGCTGTAAAGTAAATAAGTAATGCATATTTGTAGAAGGATCGGTTTGGGTTGGTTGGTTTAGGTGGGTGGGGTCAATGATGCGAGACTGTAAGAGATGATTCATGAAACATTATTAGCGAGTGGCGCATGGTGTGGGGTCGAATTACTGTCGACCATCCATACTTTCTCTTGTCTGAGGGAGACGCAGAAAGAACAGAACAAGGGGAACAAAAAAAGCTGCAGGAAAGGAAAGAGAGCTTCCAAATGGTATTCCTTATTCATCAAATATCATCTTCCTCACTTCTTGTTCGGCAATGCTCCATCAACAGCAGCAGCAGCAGCAGCAGCTCTTCTTCTGCTACTCCTCCTTCCTTCTTCCCATTCCCCAGGTAAGTTACTAACTCTCTGAATTATACCTAGTTCTTTGATTTCAGTCTCTCACTTCAAATCCGTTTATGGCTTTCTTCTTTTGATTCCCAGGGTAGGATTACCTACCGGCAACATGGGTTTCAGATGCTCCGCCGAGAACCAACCGAGCACAAGCAAGGCTGTGATCGTACGGCATCTGTTATCTGGCCTTGCAGCATCATCATTGCTTCTCTCCCAACAACCTTATGAGGTGAATCTTATCCCCCTTTAAGAGTTGAGTTTAGCAATTTACACTACTGGGCTGGGTCCATCATGGAAAGTATCACTGTCAATCTAATTGCGAGTTTGAACCATACAGATTCCTATCATTAAACTGAGCTGTAAAATTGCAGGGTCTTGCAGCAGGAGACAAGATCACTCTCCCAATTGAGGAGACCTCTTCTGGAGATGGGATGCTGATTAAGATGAGGGGTATGAGTGCCAAAAACTTCGACCCCGTTAGGTATTCGGGGAGGTGGTTTGAGGTAGCTTCCCTCAAGCGTGGATTTGCTGGACAAGGCCAGGAAGATTGCCACTGCACTCAGGTAAAACTTCCACTGCATAGTTCCATTTTCAAGTTGTGGTCTTTTCTTTTTCCAACTCATGATAACCATATGGACAACAGGGGGTTTACACGTTTGATATGGAGGCACCAGCCATCCAAGTGGATACATTCTGTGTCCATGGAGGCCCCGATGGGTACATCACGGGGATAAGAGGGAGAGTGCAGTGCATCCCCGAGGAAGATTTGGAGAAGAACGAGACAGATTTGGAGAAGCGAGAGATGATCAGAGAGAAATGCTACCTTCGTTTCCCAACACTGCCATTCATCCCCAAGGAGCCTTATGATGTCATCGCTACTGATTATGACAACTTTGCTCTTGTTTCTGGTGCCAAAGACAAGAGCTTTATTCAGGTAAAAAAACCAGTCTCCAAACAACCAACTTTGGCTAATGAAGCTCATATTGTAGACCAATCTGATTGTGTTGTTGTTGGGTTCTGATCTATCCACAAGATATACTCGAGGACGCCTGACCCTGGGCCGGCGTTCATCGACAAGTACAAGACGTATCTGGGGGAATTCGGGTATGATCCAAGCAAAATAAAGGACACCCCGCAGGACTGTGAAGTGAAATCAATGGGGGAGCTGTCGGCGATGATGGGGATGCCAGGGATGCAGCAGGCTCTAACAAATCAGTTTCCTGAACTGGGGTTAAATTCTTCAGTTGAGTTTAATCCATTTACTAGTGTGTTTGAGACATTGAAGAAGCTACTTGAGCTCTACTTCAAGTAGAAACTCCTTTGCTTTTCAATATTTTCTCCTTTTTTAGTTGGAGAAAAAAAGTGCACTGTGTTAATTGTTATTTGTGTCATAAAGCGTGTCTACACATTACTATATGGCTATATGGCAATGTCAATATAAGAACTTTGCCACCTCAGCACTTCCTCCGCAACCCGCACCATTCGGAAGGATTGATTTGTAAATTCAACCTCCTTGATTATCCCTTCTGTGTTCGTTCCTCTCTCTATGAATCAAAACCGCCACTCGCCTGAAGCTTTGATTTCTCTATCTCTTCCCAATCCGGTTCTCGCTTTCAATACCCTGCATAGCGTCTCCGTTGCCGGAACCAACAATTTCTCCGCTGCACAATCAGACCCTGATGCTATTCCTTTTCGGCAACTGATTCAAGCTTCTCCGATTCCCCCTCTCTCCCCGGAATGGATCTTCTTTTTCTTCCATCTCCCCACTGAAGTTAAGCAAGTGAATTTTAACAATTTTCTTTCATTCGAACAGATCGTTGGGAAAAAGGAATAGAAGGCATGGCGCACACACTTGGTACAAATAAGTAAAAATATTGAAGCTTTCCTAACCAAGAACTTCCCAAACCAACCAAGCAAAAGAGTACTTTAACCCTCTGTTTCCGAAGGAAGGGAGGAAAATGGAGGGGAGGGGAAGGGAATTAGGAGGGGAGAGATGATTAGGAGGTTAAGGAAATTGGAAAGAAAATGATGTTTTATGGAGGAAAGTGGGAAGGAAAATGTGTATTGGAAATTGTAATGGATATATTATTTTATTGGGTATGTAAGAATTAAATAATTTGATTATATTTTTATATTATTTTGATGGGTTGTGAATTGTGAAGATGGTGGAGGAGAGAGATGATGCAGGAGAGAGATAACAAAAAAGAAAAATAAAAAGAACCAACTTTTTCTTCTTCTCTCTTCTTTCCCTCCAATTTGGAGGGATTGATGGTACAGTAAATTTTCTTTTCTTTTCCCTTCCCCTCTTCTTTCAGAAACAAGGGAAAGTGCATTGGGAATTTAATTTTCCTTCAAACACTTTCCTTCACCCCCTTTTCCTCCGTAAAAAAAACAGGGGGTAAGGTAAACTGACCAACAACAAATGTTAGAGACTTCCCTCAAAGGCCAAATCCATCTCCAAACTTCTAATTAATCAACTACAGATACTTTAGAAGAAAGTTGCCCACAAAAGTGGGAAAAATATCAGTATTGGAAATATTTTGGAAGATAATTAATCAACCACAGATACTTAAGAAGAAAGTTGCCCACAAAAGTGGGGAAAAAATCTTTATTGGAAATATTTTGGTCTTCCACTTGTCTCTTAAATGCAGATTTTCCATCATTGCCAATTGCCACGCCAAGAACACCAGTTAGATGGAAGGGAAAACAAAATATGATGGTCTATAATAGTTATTTGAAGGCTTGTTGGTGTTGACTTGATCATTCTGCAGCCACCACCAGCTATATAGTAAAAACATGTTTTAGTCCTAAGAAAGGGTACAACAAAAGACCATATGATTTCTTCTGTGATTCAGGGGGAAAAAGACACTATCACCAAGCCAACCAGGCAAACAAATAACTTAATCTCCTAATTCACAGACGAACACTTTGCTCAACCTAAAGGGAAGGTAAAGCACACAAACAACTGCAGAAGAATATTATACTTAGACCGAATGCAACCTAATGCAACTGCAAGGGGTTGAAGACCAGACAAAAATAATGGATGGCAGGATGAGAAATCCAGCACTATGACATACACCAACTTACACAGATATGTATATTCCTTATTCCCAACACCCGACCATTTTCGATGTAGTCAAAGTAAACAGTTGCAAAAATCACAGAGTTGAAGTCAAATTGAGATCGTAACAACAAAGAAAATATGAGATTCAGTAAGCCAAGACAAACTCATGAAAGCAACTATGACATAGCACATAAAAGATCGCTTACAAATGGAAAATGACAACAAAACCCTTCCAAAACCACATATTCTTTCCTTCTCCCGTCGGGAGCTGATTCACCTTGCCCCAACTGCAGCATTGGAGGATTCCTCTACCATGGATGAATTTGGAATCCTGTAACAAAACAAAGGACCACTGAAATAGAGAGAGATACTCACAAAGGAGAGATTGCCATTAAATTAAGAGAAGGAGAGACATTATACAAAGGAAACGCTGAATCTCATGGCAAGAAATTGGGCTTCTTGGCGACATTCGATGATCACCCTGGCCGCTTCATTCTCTAATTGTGAAATCCTTGAATGTATCTCCCATGTCCCAATCGAACGAATCAATCAGCTGAAAAGAGGGAAAGAGCGAATCCATGTCAGACTATTGAGAGATAAACAATATTTTGCATAAAGAACAACTACCTAAACCAAAACCCCATTCTGTTGATCCGCATCTTCTGTTAGCCCTCTCTGTACCTTACAAATCCAGAGCAACCTAGTGTTCCACTCATCTTAGAGTGTCAAATAAAAGAAATCAGGGGAAGGAATATGACAAGAGTCCTTAACAAATGAAGAAAACTTGGCATTTGGACTACCAATTATTATATACAAAGGTATCGAATCGGCTCCAAAACTGACATGTGTATCCACTATTGCTGTTTCTGCATCCATTATAGTTGTTTCTACTACACCTGTAGCATTAAAACAAACGATTATGCCCGCAATTGAAGAAATAGAGGAAACACAAATTTATAGGAAAGAGAAGAAACCCATCCGAGAGGTAGAAAGAACAATCACTTGAACCAAAAGCACCATGCTTATAAGAAAGTTTGGATCTGGCACTTTTCCAAACCCACACAGAACCGCTCACATACAAAGCTTGATCAACCCGAGCTGGAGCCGCATTTGCCTTCCCATAGGCATGCTGCTCTGGCAAGAAATCAGAACAAAACCAATTACTTTTGCTCAGGCAAAGGCGAGCTAACTGGCTCAATTGAACGCACGCACAATGAGGAGAGTGATTCATAAACACCGCTGAGAGAGGAAACAGAAGAGAATCAAAGTAAGATGTAGAGCTACTCAACAGTAATGGTTGATAGAAAGCAGGAAATCTCACCCGAAATCCATTTCTGGATGATCTTACGGCTCGTTTTGGGTTTCTCGATTGATTGCCCTTTAATTCCAAGCAATACTCTTCTTTTGTTGGCCGCAAACTGAACCTCAACAACCACCCCCCGGCCAACAAAATCCCTGTCGGGAACTCGTCGCCTGCATTTCTTCAGAAGAGAGATAAAAAAGAATTACTAACTAAGCTAGAAAAAAACTAAACACCACAGAAAAGAGATGGAGCAAAACCATCAAAATCTCACCTTATAACGTCCTTGTTCGCAATTCTGGTTCCCCTCTGTTGTGGATATCGTCTCCCCCCGTAGTGGATATTGTCCAATACTGATCAACAATCTAACATGTGCAACAGATCTTGCAGTTCTGGGTCTTCTCCGCATTCCCTCTGCTTGCAACGACCACTTGAATCCACTGTTTAGTTTTCCACCGTGGAAAACACAAATACCACTCCCTTCTTGCTCCGACGTCGGTGATTTTTTAGAGAATGAGCGCAATTGCTCCACCAATATTTTCAATTTCTCTTTGATCCCGGAGCTCGCTCGGACGATGTTGAAGGTGAGAAGAAGTGAGAGAAACAAATTAATTGGAGCTTTCTGCAAAGATATCCAATTCAGATGGGAGCGAGGAAAGGTTGAGTAAAGAGGAAAATGAAACATGATGTGTGAGAAGTAGAGTTGAGGTAGGTAGAATATGTGGTGGAGAATAAGAGCTTTGATTTCCCCCTACTGATATTTCCATTCTCTACTCATAGTCTCACTGACCCTCCTCCCTCTCTTTTCTCTGCAAGACGAAAAGCATGCGTCAATCAAAAGGGTGATTCACCATCTCCCATCAAAAGCCATCGATGGGATGAAACGGCGACTGAAATCCTCGCTCCGCAAGCATCCATCAACAAACTCTCAACACCCAAAAATCATCGGTCCCACAAAGCATCCCTGTGACCAACGCGATATTCCTCTGAGCGTGCTCCAGTTCTCTCCAAATAATAAAAGAAAGAAAGAGAGCACCCAAACGACGGCTGGAGAATACAGAGGGCCCACCACAACCCAGCAACCAATCAGAACTCGGTGAACAGGAAATTTGAGTCTGTATGAATAGTAAAAGCAGTCTCAATGTACAGTGTCAGATGTATTGAGCTATTATACTTTTAATGTGAATGGGTTTATGTTCATTTGCCAACTACTGGTGTGTTTTAATGTAGGGCAACAATATCAATTCAATTTAGGTTTGCTTCATATTTCAGGTAATTGGTGAACAAATCAAACATCAAGTTTGGTGGTTTAGAGAAGTCTGATTGTTCAGCATCAATTCAATTGTGATTGCTTCATATTTGAGCTTCTTTTTTTTAAAGAAAATTTGAGCTAATTTGAGAATTGTTTGTGATTTAGATTGACTCAATATTTTCATTACATATATCAATTTTGTAAACCTAAGTTTGTACCAAAAATTTAGGGATAAGATATTTCGTGTTCAAACAGTCGTTCAACCATTTCATAACACTACAATTGTCTATCGGATTGGATTTCGATAGGTTTTTTTTCATCCAACCTTCAATACGGTACAACTTTTCAAATACTGAATAAATTTTAAAATGTGGTAATCAAACCACCTTACTTTTTAGATCATAAATTTTTTTACTAAATAGGATTTTCATTTTCAGGTTTAATTTTCAAAATCCTCCATTCTGATTTAATTGCCTGAACATGTGTATTTTCTTTTTAGCTTTATAAACTAACTACTTCATAGTTCAAGTTGAATTTTGAATAGGCATGTCATGGATAAATTTGGAGATGAATCTTTGGAACTGAGAGGATTCTGACTCTTTAACCTTTTGTGGGAAGGACTGCAACAATTTTGTTGAATATGATATCAAAATTTTCTCTTGGCGCGGGATTACAAAAATCGGTCTCTTTCAGTCCCCGTGGAATCATAAAATCTTAGTGATATTTAGTTTCCAATTTTATTGAAGTACTTGATTTATGCCCATAATCTTTGGTGCTTAATAAGTGAATTGGAAATTACGACGTATAATACCAAATTTGGAACTAGCAATGTAGGTTCTTCAGTTGTGACTATCAATCCGCAACGTGCCCTTTAAAATCAAACACTTTTATATTTATAACATGTGTCGTTATCAACAAATATGATAAATACTTATTTTGGAATTTTTATAAAAAAAATTACTTGCTTATCTTTACACTCATTCTAAATAGTAGCAACAAATACATAATAATCAAACACCCGGCCAACGGGCCGGGCCCAACACTAGTTCGGTATATGAATATGATGAAGTCCATCTTGATATATAAGTTTCAACCAAGGGATGAATATGACCAAACTGTCAAGTGTATCAAACATGTTTTAGGCAAACAAGGGGACATAAACAGTGGCGGATACTTGACCGCAACATCCCTAAAATTTGGGGAAATGATTATCCAACTCTAGAGGTGGCAATTCTCAATCCAATCCACTAATCCATTAAAAATATCCACCTAATCCAATCCATTTGATCCAAATCCAATTGGATTGGTAGATTCATGGATCAATCCATGGATCCAAATGACAAATTACGTTTTGGTACCTATACTTTTTATATTTTACATTTTGGTACCCAAAATTTAAGTTTTTATACAAAAATATCATTGGAAATTACGTTTTGGTACCTAAATTTTTTAATTATGACATTTTAGTAATTAAACTTTTTCACATTTTACATAATGGTCCTTGGTTGAATATGTCATTTGGGTAGATAACTAACAAAAATATCCCCTCTGTTTTTTCTCTGTCTCTGAAGAGTCCCCTCTGTCTTTTCACTGCCCCCCAGTGCTGACGTTTCATCTTCCCACATTCCTGGAGAGTGTTTCCTGTCCCCTTGATTGGCTTGTCCCGATCCTATCCCCTTCCTTTCCCCCTGATTCTCTTCTCTCTGGCTGTTCGCCTCTTTCTTCTGGTTCTGGTCCGTCCCTGTTTCTGGTCTCTGTAACTGCTTGTTGGTGGTTTTTGAGTTCCCATCAGTCTTGGCGACTGTTCAGTGCCTGCTGACTGTCCTTGGACTGTTGGCTTTAACAGTTCTTCTACTGTCGTGTCACTGCTGCATTCATGGAAAAGGAATTAGTTGAAAAACTGTCGGGTATTGATTTAACAGAAGAGGAAGAAACTATTATTAGTCTGGAAGATACAGTTGCAACCGAAGGAGTTAAAGAAGCAATGAAAGAGCTTGGACTTGCTGGTAAAGCTATTAAAGGGACTCTTCCCTCGGGAAGGATCCTGAAGAAGATATTAGGTGAAGCTTGGCGACTGAAAAGGGATTTCGATCTACAGGTTACTAAGGAGAACATTTTGCGTCTGCAACTTTACTGTTTTGAGGATATAAATAAGGTTCTTTATGGAGGACCTTGGCATCTAGAAAGACAGTTGTTAGTCTTCAAGGAAGTTCCTCCAGATCTGGACTTATCTAAGATTGATTTTGAGTGGGCGGATTTCTGGGTTCGAATAAGGAAGTTCCCTCTGAATATGAGAAATCCTCAATGGCAGAGAGGGTTGGATCTATGTTTGGAAACTTTGTTCGTTGGGACGAATTACATTATGGAGTCAGCAGTGAATTTTTTAGAGTGAGAGTCTCGATACCGATTCAAAAACCACTCAGAAGAATAATTAAGATGCAGAGTAAGAATGGTCCTATTTCCTACAAGGTTGGCTATGAAAGACTCCCCATCTACTATTTCAAATGTGGCATTCTAGGCCATCTTAAAAAATCTTGCCCCTTAGGCCAGAACAGTGAGGCTGATGATAACGATCCTTATGGATCTTGGCTAAGAGCTGACTCCCCTCTGAAAAAGCTTTCCATTAGGGAAAAGGAGAAATCACAACTGCTGTCAAAGCTTTGGGAAGAAGTTCAAGCTGAAAGAATCTCGAAACAAAAGAAGGATGAAGAGCCAAAAAATTCGGAAAAGCAAGCAGAAGAACTTTCTGAGAGCTTGCTGGTTATTAAAGTAAATGATCATGTTCGAGTATCTGCTAAGGATCTTAGTGAAAAGGAAAAGGAATCTGAGACTCCTGGGGAACAAGTTCAAGCTCCCAATGATGATCAACACACAGCTTTGCTACAGCTAGCTCAGAGATTCCAAAGGAAGCTGGAAATGGAAGTCATGACAAACAAGTTGAGACTCTTGCAGTTGAAAATAAAAACTCTGCTAAGAATGGAAAGAAAT